CCTCCTGCTATCTTCTTCTTTTTTTTTTTTTTTTAACATATATTGCATTATTTGTTTCAGAGGCACAGATTTTAAATGCCTGCTTCCCCAGCAGAAGTTGCTTTCTCAATTCAGATATACCATCTCGGTAGCAGGTCAGTGTCACTGCCCCCCATCAGGGACAGTAGCCAGCCTCCTTGGGGACTTACAGGCTAAATGTCTTTGGATTCGTGCAAACTTGACATCTGATTACCTTTAGAGAATGCATCTGGCTTAACTGAGCAGGAAAGTGATGCTGGCAGAAAAAGATTAAAATACGGCAGAGCCTGGCCTTTCTTTCCTGTTCTCTCCTGACTCCACAAAAAGCCAGCTGTGACTCGTCCACATCAAGTGAGATTTTTCACACCAGTGATGCTGATGGATCTCTGCACAGCTTTAAGCAAGCAGCTGCCAGGGGCTATCTCTCTTCCCCAAGACAAGTGGATTTGTCAAGTCCCAACGATCATATTTGCTGTTGCCCTGCTCAGTAAACAAAACGAGGACAGTAACTCAAAGTTTTATGGGCTGCACATTTTTATTGATTTAATGGACTTTGTTATTTAAAAAAAAAGTCATCACAGCCTTTCTATAGGTATGACCATCACAGTAAACTCAATTCAGACCTTTCATTCACTGTCAGGTGCCTATCTGTGGACTTGGCAACTGATCTGAAGACTGACAGGGAGAAAGGGCGACAAGAGGATCGAGGGAGGTGAGAAGGAGAAGGGAGGGAGAAATAGCAGAGGTGCATAGAGAGGCGTCTCTTTATAACTAGTAGAGCAGTTAGGAGGCAGGTAAGACCTAAAGCCAGAAGACTGAGGCTTGAATCCCAACTCTGCCCCATATTAGCTATGTGACCTTAAGCAAGTTTCTTAACCTCTCTGTCTCATCTGGAAAATGAGGATGATACTAGTAACCACCGCCTGCAATCGTCGTGAGGAATAGACAGCAAACACAGCACTTGGGCTAAATGGCTGCCTGTATCACCTCCGTCCTCCCAACAGCCTTCTGAGCCGGTGTGTGTCAGTTTCCCACTGCGGCCGGGCCAGAAGACCACAAACTCAGTGGCTTAACACAACACAAATTTATTATCTTACAGTTTTAGAGGTCAGAAGTCCTGAAGTCAAGGCATCAGCGGGATTGCATTCCTTCTGGAAGCCCTAGGGGCAGATCTATTTCCGTGTCTCTTCCCCAGTCCTAGAGGCTGCCTGCATGCGCCCTGCCCCTTCTTGGCATCACCCTGACTCCCGCTGCTGTCTCAGACCTCCTTTTCAGACTCCCACCGTCCCTCCTGGAAGGAGCCTTGTGATTCCACTGGCCCACCTGGAGAAGCCAGGATAGTCTCTCCCGTCTCAGGATCCTTGACTGAATCACCCCTCCAGAGCCCCTTCTACCATCTAAGGCGGCACAGTCGCAAGTGCTGGCTATCAGGATGCAGACATCTTCAAGGGGCCACTATCTGTCACCCACGGTGGCTATGGTTACCCCCCGTTCTACAAAAGGGAAACTGACACATGGACAGAGTATGTGACTTGCCCAAGGTCATGCCAACCCCCGCTACCTTCCTGCCTCTCAGTGGGTTAATGTTTATAAAGCACTTGGAAGGAAGCACTAAGCTGGGTTAACTCTTACCGCCATGCCGTGGGCATAAAAGACTGAATACTCGGTAACAGCTTCAGCTTTAAGTCAGTGATGCCAACACAAGGGTAGGTCTGCTTTGGCTGCTCTGGGAGCCTCTTTGTCTCCGTGAATATTTGGATGCAGTCTGGCACTGATGTGGAATTGGGAATTTGGAGGAAGGAAGACCTGCTCCTCTCCCCACAGCTGTGAGTCTGGAGCAAGCAGCCTGAGCCTGGCAGCATGAGGCTAGCATGAGCACCCTAACCTAACATGCTGTTGTGAAGTGGGGGTGTCAAAGGCGATCCTACCAGTTGACAAAAAGGGTTTGTAAACTACTAAAACACTGTCGATGTTAGCAGCCATTTGCATATTTTTTTTAAAGATTTTATTTATTTATTTGAGAGAGACTGAGTGAGAGAGCACAAGCCAGGGGGAGAGGGAGAGAGAAACAGATTCCCTGCTGAGCAGGGACACCCCCACCCCTGACACAGGACTGGATCTCAGGACCCCCAGGACCCCGAGATCATGACCTGAGCCAAAGGCAGAGGCTTAACCAACTGAGCCCCCCAGGTGCCCCAACACTTGCATATTCGTTGACTAAAAGAAATGTTATGATTTTAATAAAACAAAGGATGCTGGAAGAAAGCAAGCTGCTCTGGCATGCAGAGCCGAGCACTTACCACTGCAGATCCCCTGCTTGTTGTAGAACCCGAGGCCACAGCCGTTCTCGCAGCCACCCTCCCTCAGCACTTGGAGGGGGTCTCTGCAGGCCATGCAGTGCTTCTCTGTCGGACCCCAGCAGGCAGCACAGGACTCGTGGCAGACTGCAGGCAAGCGGCAAAATCAGTGGACAATCTATAGCAGAAAGGACGCGTTGCAATTTTTCTTTCAAAGGTTTAAGAATTCATAAGGAGGATGTTGGAGCCTTCATTCCTAAATCGCATATGTATACCACAGGAGAAAAAAACACCCTCCACCAAAAATAACTATTTCTGTTGGCCAGAAGTACAACTCAATAAATTACTGCTCAGAGACTTGGAACAGGAAATCAGAGGCTTTTGAGTAATGGGAATCACAGGGAAGGGAACTATAGTTTTCTAGACAAAGATGGTCTGTCTAATGAAATCAGATGGCCCTCCATCACCTTGCCACCTTGTCTTTCATAACCATACAATGAAATGTTGACAGGATCACCGCTCCTGCGTCCAACACCATGAAGAATCAGCAAGGAGGGATGCCATGTACTCTCATCCTTGATTAGACTTTGAAAGACCTGCTACTGCTGGATTTCTACTGCTCTCTCCCCGCTTTCCATCCCTGTCTTCTCTCTATCCCACCCCCATCCCTTCCTTCTGTCCTCCCTCATGACTCTTCTAGTCCCCCCAACCCCACGGCCCCACCACTAGCTTCTGCTCTCAACATGCATCTTGAGTACCTTTCTCTTACAGCTTAACTTGCCAACCATACATTGTTCCTAAACCAGAGTTGTTCCTTTAACACTCAAAAATATCCTCCTCTTCCAGCATTTGATTTTTACTACTCATGCTTGCTTTTCACCTTAGCATGTCTGCAAAGAGAGGCCTATTCTGAGTGATTGCTGATATTAAAAGTTGGTTAACTGTATGGCTAAACCCAACCTATGCTTCTGTTAATGCATCCTAATTTTCAAAATGTTTGCTTCACCGTGGAGCACAGCCTGTTCTGCAGAGGTATTCATTCTGACCAAAATTGGTGGGGGAAATGCCTTTGCTGATCGGAAGAGACTTGGGAACTAAATACGTAAATAATTTAATTATGTATCCCTTTAGAATCAGAAAAGGGTGCGTTCATTGCAAATCTTAAGATCCAATCCTCTCCTCTCAGCTCGAAACTGCACAGGAAAGCCTTTAATTTCAGACAACTTTCCTCCCCCAACAAACGTAGAGATAATTACAGATTCTCTTAAATGCTATAGGGCACCTGGCTGGCTCAGTGGGTTAAGTGTCTGACTCTTGATTTCAGCTCAGGTCATGATCTCAGGGTTGTGAGATCGAGCCTTGTGTCGGGCCTGGCACTGGGCCTGAGCCTGCTCAAGATTCTCTCTCTCCCTTTCCTTCTGATCCTCCCCAACCCCCGTCTTAAAAAATGTTAGGAAGGGCTCTCTGATAAAAAATAACAGTGGTGGGGGCGGAAGGAACCAACTTTAGGTAGATCTAAAGGATGAGAAGTTGCCAGCCCTGGAGAGAGCCAGAGAACAGCACCAACAAAGTCCTTGGGAAGGAAAGGAGCTCAGGGGTTCAAAGAACTGACGGCTACCCCTATGGCTAAAGCTAGCAGATGCAGAGGGACCAGCAGGGCACAGAGGGGTGCAGTGAGGAATGGTGGGACACAGTGCCCTGATTCATGGCTGGAGGGATAGGCAGAGGCCCAATCAAACTTGACCTTGGAGATCATGGAAAGAAATTAGGATTTTACCCTAAGTGTAATGTGAAGTTTCAAACGGGGTTAAGCAAGATCAACACAAGCCCTGATTTTCAAAGCTCGCTCTGGCTGCCGAGTAGGGAGGGTTTAAGGACTTGCATGTAGGCAGACAGACCAGCATGGAGTCCACTGCTCTGGTCCAGGCAAGAGATGAAATAGCAGATGAAAAACAGAGATGGAAGAAAGTTTACTTATTTATGAGCTGGTTCCCTTGCTGGACCGTAAGCTTCATAAGGGCAGAATCCATTTCCATTTAGTTAACTCTGTGCTGAGTACACTGCTTGGTACTCTACACTTGGTACTTCATTTATATTTAACACCTTATTTATATTTTATAAGTGTTACATGAGAACACTGTTAATATCAGGATAAGCTACCCAAAGTACATTATAATTAAAGATGTGGATTAAAGATCCGAGTAACAAATTCCACCCTGAACATCCACAAAATCTGTCATTCATTCTTATTCAACTACCCTTCAATTAATGACTATAGTCATCATCTGAAGTGTCTATCCCTTCTTGTGCCTCTGCCTTACTGACTCAGGAGTTGATTCAAAGCCATTACCTAAACAAACAAACAAAACAAACAAAAAACCCAATTTCATTCCTAAGAAGGTTTTATGCCAGGCTAATCTATCCATGTTCAACAGAAGCACCTACCACATGCAGGGTGCTGTGGTTAGCCTGTGGGGCCTTCCCAGCTAACCACAGGTCAGAAGTCGGCTAGAGGAAACATTTAAACCACCCCATCGCTTGAGCTCATTGGTAGCATTGCACAAACTGCACCAGGGAGCAAGTACTTGAGGATGATGGGAAGTAAGACTAAAAAGACAATAGGGGCCAGATCACAAATATCATGGAAGGCCAGGTAAGGATCTTGGACTTCATCTGTAAGAGTTTTAATCAGTTTTGTTTCTTAGAGAGCTTACTCTGCAGTGGGAAGAGGAGAGGGTAATTAACTCAAGACATTTTTAAGGGATGAAATCATCTTTTGTCAAGGGAGCACAGAGGAGGTGAGAAATTAAAGCACGACCCTCTAGTTCTCTTCGGGGATTGGTTGGTAGGGGTGCAGACATTCAGCTGCACTGGCTTTTAAACTAGTAAAAATACTTCCAACCTGGTTGGCAAAGGGATGTCATCCTGGTCCCTCCCTGATGATTCTGGTTTCATCCCTGGGAAGCCTGCAAGACACTGTGTTCCAGCAACAGAAAGGTCTGGCACAGGAGAGAGTCTCAGGTCCGTCCCCACCCCCCCAACCTTCAGACTAATCTGATCTGTGCCATATGGCTTGTTAAATATTTTTTAACATTATCCCTAGTGTTGCCAATCAGAACAGGGCCAAAGGATGAGCAGGATAGAGGCTACAGGCTTAGGGACCGCACTCAGGCCTGTCACAAACTGAGCTGCACCTAACATGTCAGCCCTGCCTTCTGCTACCTCCCTCGAGCAGGCCAGTTCTATGCAGCAGGGTGCCCTAAGCATGCCATATACGGGTTCGTGGGTTCCAGATGCCCCACACAGGATTCACCCAGTTGGCAATGCCTCCAGCTCCTTCGACAGCCCCTGTAATCCTGGTTACACTTGAGAGGCTTAAGTTGTCACTACTTCTGGGAAGCTTTGCTGAACTTGTCCAAACAGTCCCTTCTTCCTCTGTGTTCCTGCAGCACGTTGTACCTCCTCTCTTATGCTATTTATCCTATGTCCTATTCATTTGGTTACAAATCAATCCCTTTCAACAGAATATAGTATCCTCCAGAACAGGGGCCACGTTTGAATCATCTCAAACCCCCAGTGTCCAAACTGGTAACTGGTACAAAGTCAGCATTCATTAAATGTATGTTAAATGAATACACAGATTTTTTTTTTACCGGTTATGACAGTCATCCTATCAGTTATCTTCTACATGGAAACAACTAATCATGAGGTCATAGTCTGAACATGTGATAACTTAAACTAGATAAACTTGAGGCTGTAAATGTACCTAATAAATGCTGGAATCCAGATCTCCTTATGATGATAAGTACTTATGCTACATCTGTATAGAATACCAAATGTGAGGCCACCTTCTCTGTTTCCATAGCAAACAAAAGGCATGTTCAAATGGTCAAGCAAGGCAGCAGAAGGGATTTTTATTCCTTCAATATGGAACTATGCTGAGCTGTCATTTCTTTTTCTTTTCTTCTTTTTTTTTTTTTTTGAGCTGTCACATTTCTTATAATGACACACTCCTACTGTGTTTTGCAATTGATTTCTAATTTCTAACACTGAACACATGCTGCTGCAGATAATCTCTTCTCCCAGGCTTATTTTACATGTGGCTTTTATTACACTTGGGTTATTATGAAAAATAGAAGGTCACTCCCTGACTTTTCACCATAATTTCTCTTAGTGATACATTTCAGATCACCCAGGGTTTGGCCTGTATATTGTGAAAACGTGGCAATAAATTTAAAAAGAGGGCTAATGAGAGAAAACCATCTTCTTATCTGACATGCAGTAGATAATTTATTTAGGAAAGCCCCTGACTTTTCTAGAGCATAGCAAGACATGTGCTGGCTTGCTGAGCAATTCATTTCAAAATGAAAAGGAACGAATTACCTTTCTTTTGGCAACTCTATATTGAAACCAGACTCCAGAAATAAGAAACGTATTTTTGTTACTTGATAATTTTGAGATAGATGATTGCTGTAAAAAAATTTTCAACCTGTGCTTCTCTAAGCATACAGTGCAGCCCCTTTCCAGGGAAGTGTTAAAAGCACTTCCTTTGGGCCACTTCTCATTTTCCAGGAAGCCTTCCCAGACGCCAGTGGGCTCAGCCTGCAGTTCAAAATGCCCCTCAGGAATGAGAAAGAGCTTCTCCTTTGGTCCCTCACCTTTCCCATGGCCTTTTGGGATAAGTTTTCCTGCCATTCCCAGGGAATTGGCACACTTGATCAGCAGGCCCTTTTAGGTTCATCAGGCTGCAGTTCAGATTTCCAAACTGCCAAGGGGGTTTTCACCGGCAACTACGCAGAAGTCTGCTATGTCATCCACAAGTCAGATTCCTTCATTCCCATCCATATCCATTTTGTAGCAACTGCTAGCTTTTGTCCTCATCACACAAATGACGGGAAAGTACTTGCCAAGTTCTAAAGTATTATCAGGGGGGTAAATTTCCAATAAGAAGCTCTTGCTGGATGAAAAAATGTCCTATCTTACCCTCAATTTCACTGTTCCTTGCTTTCCTAATCTGTAAAGTGGGAATAAGAGTTGTTATACATAACTCATGAGGATATGGTGAGATGACATATTTGAGAGAGCAGAGAATGTCACGCGTGATCCAATGAGCGGCATACCGTGCGAGATCTAGCACATCTTGTCTC